GGGGGGGGAGGGGAGACGAGTCCGATCAGTGGCCCGTCTCCCAGTGCCAGCCCCCCAACCACGCACCGGGCCCTCCCCCCCGCCCCACCTGTTGGGAGAATCGTCTTGCACTCGATGGAGCTTTACCCGGCACGGAAATTGCTCCACCCACCACTGCAAGGCAGCCACCTCTGGGGTGGAACGTGACGGCTGCATAATAGCACATGGCAATGCTGCCTGGGGGGTCACGCCCTGTACTGAAAGGCAGCCACTTCTGGGGTGGGATGGGGTAACTATTGAACAGCACACAGCAACGCCGCAGTGCTCGTGGCCCCGGGAGTGAAAAAGACGGCTGCATAATAGCACATGGCAATGCTGCCTGGGGGGTCACGCCCTGTACTGAAAGGCAGCCACTTCTGGGGTGGGATGGGGTAACTATTGAACAGCACACAGCAACGCCGCAGTGCTCGTGGCCCCGGGAGTGAAAAAGACCCAATGTCTAGGGTAAACGCCATCGGGCTTTTAGGGAGGCAGGGGCCAGCACTCAGCCTGGACAGGGCAAACCCAGTGCCGTGGGAATTGTAATGGAAGCACATGGCGATGTAAAGCTCCTTGGGTTCATATTGATTGGGAAGGCAGCACCTGATTGGTGGGGGCAGGATCATGGCCTGTGGAGAAGGGCTCCACCTGCTTCCCCCTCCACCAATGTCATCTCATGTCAGTATGTTCCTGGTGCCACAGATGGGGAAACCGAGGCACGGGCCTGGGGACAGTGCCTTGGCCAAGGTCACCTAGCGATCCATGACAGGGCTGGGCTTGGAAGCCAGCTGTCCTGTCTCCCAACCCCATGGCCCATCGCCTGGGGGTCTGTGCAGGACGCCTTAGCTCCCAGGGGGCAGCCGGCTGGTTCTGGGCTCCCGCTGTGTTCTGCACACTGCCAGTGCATACCTCTCACCGGTCCGAAGGCGCCTTCCGGCTCCGCTTTACTGGAGGCGAAGGGGCTGATGGAGGGGAAGACGATCAGGGCGAAGGAGAGCAGCAGCACCTGCGAGCCCGAGGGAGAGAGGTGTCAGCTGGGCCCCCACCCCCTCTCGGGGGGGCGGGGGGGGTGAGGCAGGAGAGAGGGAACATTGGTGCCAGCCAGAGGATCTACTTCAACTTCCCTAGGGACACTGGGAGCAGGTCATGAGTCTGTGTCTGTCTGTCCATCCAGTCCCCTTCACGTCCTAATGTCTGTCTGTCCATCCAGTGCCATTCATACCCCAATGCCTGTCTGTCCATCCCGGCCCATTCACACCCTAATGTCTGTCTGTCCATCCCGGCCCCCTTTGCGCCTTTGTGTCTGTCTGTCCATCCAGTGCCATTCATACCCCAATGCCTATCTGTCCATCCTGGCCCATTCACACCCTAATGTCTGTCTGTCCATCCCGGCCCCCTTTGCGCCCTTGTGTCTGTCTGTCCATGCAGGCCCATTCACACCCTAATGTCTGTCTGTCCATCCCGGCCCCCTTTGCGCCCTTGTGTCTGTCTGTCCATGCAGGCCCATTCACACCCTAATGTCTGTCTGTCCATCCAGCCCCCTTCATACTCCTCTGTCCATTCCCAGTCATACTGTGTCTGCCTCCATATCCACCACACCCC